TGTATGTGTGTGTATGTATGTATATATATATATATATGTGTGTGTGTGTGTGTGTGTGTGTGTGTGTGTATATATATGTATATATATATATATATATATATATATGCGAGAAAGTAATAAAGGGAAATATATTTTTAAAAAAAGATATGTATTTATTTGTATGTATATGTGTATATACATACATATAAATACATATACATATTTGTTTTTAATTATTATTATTTTATTTAAAAAAATATTTCCCTTTATTACTTTCCAACCCCACCACCCCTTCCCTAATTGGAGTAAACTAGTGAACAACAATGCTTAGGCCTCTACTTCCAGCTTATACATACTATATACATTTATTATCTACAATAATTATATTTTATTTGTTTTTACTCCTGAACTTCCTCTACCCTCAACCTCTCCGATCATTTTCATGATGTCCATCCGGTTTGCTTCCAAATGCCATATCTTTCAAACTGTGCTCTTTCACAAAAGCTCTCAACCTATAACCTATATACTTATTATGGACACAGTATGCTTTACATTTCGTTATCTTGTTTTTGTTAGTTGTTATTAGTCCCATCCTTCAGCTCCAATCAACCCCTCCCATCTATCTCTTAACCATCCTTATTGGATTTCTATTTGCCATATATTTTTCAACTGTACTGTGATGTTTTTCAAAAGTTCTGAACCTTTCTATTCTCATTGTTTCTACAGATTGTAAATTGAAAATAAACATTTTTTCTAACATTTCAGATCACCCAGTAGTGCTATCTGCAGGGTTAGCTCCAGGTAAATATTGCAATCCTTTAGCCATTCCTGGACCTGTGTCCAAAAACAAGCTACAAATGGACAGTACCAAAACAAATGATCTAATGATTCTGTCTCTTCGCAGCAAAATCTGCAGAGCTGGGAAGATTGTATCCCCCATATAAATAACATTATATTGGTAGCAAGAATTTTATATGATAATTTAAATTGAAAGATTCTAAGTTTTGAATCCGGCGTCGTTTTGCGTATTAGTTCATAAACACTATGCCATGGAATCGGTACGTCAAAAATCTCTTCCCAACTATTTTGCAATCTATATGGGATGGCTGTCAATCCTTTGGTCCTTAAATGAAACTGGTATACTTTTTTATTTATCACAATTTTCTTTATCCAGTTATGTTCTTTAATGCAGGGCCGACAGACTAGTTCCTTATTTTTTCCCCCTTCCACTTTCCTCTTCCATTTTTGGGGTAATGCTGCAATTATTTGGTTGTAATTTTGGGTAGAGCAGACATTTCCATATGTTTTTGTTAGCTCCATGTGCAACATAACTCCACCAGTCCTACCTATGATATCATTTACGAAGATTATACCTTTAAAAATTGTTTTTTTCAAAAAATTGTTTTTTAATCAATTAGTATATTCGAGTTCAACCACAATATTTGTTGCATTATTTGTTCTGTCATTTCTGGAGGATTAAATTGAAATTACAACCAACTTTCTATGGCATGTTTTAAAAATAGTGATATTTGGGAGATGATTTCCTTTTCAAATAACTGAAAGTGAGAGGTTGTAATCTGAATAAAGGGAAAAAGGCCGTTCTTGAACATTGGGTGAGACAGTCTTACTAATTTGCTAGAGAACCAGTTCGGATTTAAGTATACCTTTTGTATGACTGAAGCTTTTAGTGATAGGTCTAATGCTTTAATATTTAATAATGTCAATCCTCAGAATTCATATTAATTATAGAAATAGGCCCGTTTAATTTTGTCTTGCTTGCCGTTCCAAATAAAATGGAATATTTTTTTCCTCATATAATTAAAAAAAAACTGTTCGCTAGGCATTGGCAAGACCATAAGCAAATAGGTAAACTGGGATAATACTAAAGAGTTAATCAGGGTGATTTTTCCACAAATTGACAGGTATTTACCTTTCCATGGTAGCAAGATCTTATATATTTTTGCTAACTTTCTATTCACATTTATTTGAGTGAGATCATTTATTTCATTTGGGATATGTATTCCGAGTATATCCACAACACCATCAGACCATTTTATTGGTTAACTACATGGTAATGTAAAATTTTTATTTTTTAGTGATCCAATACGTAATATAGTACATTTATCATAATTTGGTTGCAATCCAGAGAGGTTAGAAAATGTATCTAGATCCTCTATGAGGCTGTGGAGGGATTCAAGTTGTGGATTAAAAAGAAAACATGAATCATCAACGTACAATGACACCTTTGTTTTTAAGCCCTGGATTTCTAATCACTTGATATTATTGTTGGATCTGATTTTAATAGCTAACATTTCGATGGCCATAATAAATAGATATGCCGATAGTGGAAAACCTTGTTTCACTCCTTGACAGTTTAAAACTTTCGGAGAAGAAGAGTCTTAGTGGTTCCAAACTTCTTCCATTTAAGAATGATGGAGGCCACTGTGTTCTTGGGGACCTTCAATGCTGCAGACACAGGTGGACTCCAATCAAGTTGTAGAAACAGCTCAAGGGTGATCAATGGAAACAGGATGCACCTGAGCTAATTTGAGTCTCATAGAAACGGGTCTGAATACTTATGTAAATAAGGTATTTCTGTTTACATTTTTTAAATGAATTTGCTAAGGTTCTAAACCTGTTTTCGCTTTGTCATGATGGGGTATTGTGTGTAGATTGAGGGAAAAAATTATTTAATCAATTTTACAATAAGTCTGTAACGTAACAAAATGTGGGAAAAGGGAAGTGGTTTGAATACTTTCCGAATGCACTGTATACTGCACAATACAACTGAACTCCTCACAGTCAAAGACACTACATGCTACAACAACAAAAAAATAAAAAAAGATATACCTAATAACAAATTTACAAAATCTCCTTTCTATAGTTGGGTCCCAACGTCTCCATAGGCACAGGTGTGACCATCGGGGCTGGGGTGCGAGTGAGAGAGTCCATCATTCTCCATGGGGCCACTCTACAGGCAAGCAGTTACTAGTGGCCTACCTTTTATCTTTGTGGCAAATTATTGTTAGAATTTGTTTTTGGCCAGTTCCTCAGACAAAAAAAATTCTGAAATTGCTGTTCTTCCCTTGATCATAGCTCACAGATAATGTGTCCACTTGATTAAAGTAGGATTGATAATTGACAGTGACGTAATTCTATTTTGATATGGTTCTTTTAGGATCACAGTTGTGTGTTGAACTGTATAGTGGGATGGGATAGCACTATCGGCAAGTGGGCCAGAGTTGAAGGAACTCCCAGTGACCCCAATCCAAACGACCCCTATGCCAAAATAGATAGTGAAACACTCTTCAGAGACGGAAAACTCACGCCATCAATCACCATTCTTGGTAAGTTGCCTTTACCCTTATAATACTACTGAGTTGAGCTGTACTTGGCTGGCCTGGTTACGCATCCACCATAGTTGCTGTAACTGTGCTGGAAAGGACTACCTTAAAAGGACATATCTGAGCCAGCACCGTGCGTTTCAGGGCAATCTTGTGAAAAGGGTATTGGATACATGTAGATTTTTGGAGCATGTAAGCATTACAAAGTTTTAATATTGCTATTTTTTTCAGGTTGTAATGTAACTATCCCGGCCGAGGTGATCATACTCAACTCAATTGTTCTGCCATACAAAGACCTCAACCGGAGCTTCAAAAACCAAATTATATTGTAGTTAATTTTCTGTGTGGTCTGTTCATTTAGTGTCAAACAAATTAAAGATTTTAGCTTGAAGAACAATGCCACTGCCTCTGGGTTATTGTATATAAGATAAATATATAAAAAGGAGATTACACTTATTTAGGTGTTTGGAAAGATATAGATTTGATATATTGTGTATGTTTTTTTTGCCTTTATGCATTAACTGATGTTACCATCATTTGAGATGCTTTGGGAGGCTGATAATGTGCGTTGGTTGGTTTGATTACTTCGACGCATGTCTGAATGTCATCCCACAACTTTTATGAAACATACGTTTTATAAAATGTATTTTAACTGTTACATTTCTGCACTAGTCCTATAATGAGCTCTGTATGATGGATTCACTACCATGTAAGGGAAATTATTAAATAATGGTCATATTTTGGCATGGGGGTTGCTGGTATTACTTACTTTAGGTGGTGGTGCTAACCTTGTTACTGAGAAATTGCATGCTGAAAATGTAAACTAATCAGCTGCAGACTTTTATAAGATTGCAAAATAAAAGGAATTGGTTACAAACGGTTACATTTTGAGTGGTAATTTGGGGGCCTTTAACATGAGTGCTTTGATTCAAACGTGACCATTTTAATTGCAAGAGTTATTCTGACATTCTTCTCTGAAAGAAATCGTTGACCGTCTCATGTTTCTTTTGCTTAAAGGGGCAATCTGTAGTTCAAACAAAGTCCAAAAATGGATGTACCAATCGCCGATTTCCACTTTTAAATAGCAATCAAGAAATGTTTGCTTGAAATCTGAACATAGCAGGGGACCTGGAGATTCCGGCCTTCGATTCTGTACTTTGTTATTTGTGACAATCATAAATGAAATAGTTAATCAGTATTCAATTTTGTTCCTGCATGACTAATTTTGAAATGAAATGATTCTGGCTTTAATCAAGCACTTATGGTTCAGACTGAGTTGTTACCTTTTAATTACTAAAAGTGTTTTGTAACTAAATTGCAGAAATGTCTTGTTTCACAGATCTATCCGTTTAGAAATCAAGTACAGCAGTTTATTCAATCACAGCTACCCAATTGTGTTCGTTATGCATTAGTGCTGAGAGTTCCTCAAATGTACACTGCACCATCATACTCCATTTTACAATACTTAACATTCAAATAATATTTAACATTTTTACACAGAAAAGATAGCTAGTCAAATATGAAGTGCTTTATTTTCCCAAGAACATACCAACGTTCTTCATTCCACTGAACTATCCACACACAACTAATCCAACTTAAAGAAGTCAGGAAACCACAGTGATATCGGTTGGGGGATGTAAATAACTTATTTTTTTACCCGGGTCAGTCTTTGCCCTGCTACTGCAAATTGAAGCCATTCTTCATTATGCCCTTCAGGGAACCACAGCTAGGAGTCTTAGGGTATTTACTCAGCTCAGGGGAAATCAGCGGTTTAAACAGACGATCTGAAGAGATGGTAGAAACATGTTGGAGGCACCATGATGATTCAGCTTTTGTCATAATCCAGCATCATGTACATTAAAGCTGACACATTAACCCCAGTGACATTTGGGCAAGGGCTGTTGAGTCATCATTGACTGAGTTTTTCAATAGCACACAGCAGCTGAGTTTGGTGTCAGGTTGTTTGTTTACCTCTGTCTATGCTGTGGCTGATGTTGGCATCGACCACTGATGATATAACCTGGTCCCTCTCCACCATGAGGTGGCGTTTCCAGTACTAAGCAGGGAATGACAGCATTCAGCATGTGACCTGAGAGAGATGATGAAATCAACAGAAACCTGGTTCACAAATGCAGAGGCATCACACATATCGAATTCATCTACATGGGTGACATTGCAAAAATGCAGAAATGTTACAGCACTGAAAGGACCAGATTGTTGGAAATACTCAATGTGGCACTTGATTAAAAAAAATAAAAAAAATAGTGAAGATCACAATTGCATCACATTTATACGCAGGACAGTGCCCACCTTTGGCTGAGTGTTTGTTTCTCTCATAATGGTCATTGGGAAGGGCTCTGCCATTCCATGTCCCAAAATGGTTGGTCCAAACACCCTGCACAAATTGTTCTGGTCCATTTGACACAATTGGCTCTGTAGGACTACAGTGGGCAGTAAGGCAGTGTACAATATTCTTATTAAGAAGACATTAACCTCTGTTACTGAAAATAGACTTCCTGTTTACTCTTGCAATAACCTGCATCTCAGTGGTCAAATTTTGCTCAATATCCTGACAAGTTATGGAATTCGTCATTTATGGAACTATAAGTTGAGGAAATGGTTCACTGCAAATCAGTACCCTCTCAGGGAGAAAAAACGAATAATCACTCTTAAGACACAAAGAGGTATCCCATCACCCGTAGGTGTTACCTCTGCAGATGAAGCATGAGGAAAGCCAGTGTGTTTCTTTTGGGCTTCGGCAGATCCGCTATGGCCTGGTAAATTATTGCTGTGCTGTTGTCGTCATCTGTAATCTCTGTAAGTGATACACATCCCATCAGTGAGGCCCTTAGGACAAAGAACAGCAGAAAAAAATGCTGAGAGACATACAGTAACGTTATACCTCAATCTACACTCCCTCTAGTAATTATAATCTCTTTGTTGATTCACTCACTCCATTATGACTCAGAAGGCCTCTAGAGACAGTGTCTACATTATAGTTCTTTGTAGCATTAGCAGTTTTGTGGATGGCATATGCCCTGGGCTCCTTCAGACATCTCAATGCAATTTACAAAAGGGTTGGTGCTATGTCCTGAAGTCAATCAGCTTTTATGAGGCAGAGCGAGAGACTGATTTACATGGGATCATTCCTGGCATACCGCAAATTACCACTTACTCTTCACTCAAGACCATATATAAGATTGAAATTAATATGCTGGAAGTAAACAAACTGGGCTGGGAGAAATATTGAGTGTTGATTGTTTTACAGTCATCAGGGAGTTGTCAGATATTAGGTTTGCGTGGCGATTTTGAGGTGCTCAATAAAAATCCATCCATGAGCATTACTGCCAAATGCATTGCATAAAGCATTATATTAATGTAGATTACATAGTTCAGATACTTTAGTGTGGCTTCAAACAAGAGAAAATTCTACTTAAGTGGAAGTTATGATTTGCCCAACACAAACAGCCGTAGGGTAATTGCTTATCATTAAACAGGGTTAGGGTCAATTCTGAATTCGGAGGTGGAACCTAAACAAGCATTTCTTCTATAGGACAGGAAATTATGTTGATATAGTGGCGGCAACTTCCTCTGGGTGGGGGGGTCCTTTAATTACAATTAAATTCTTGAATTGGCCACACTCCACAGGAAGCAGAATTTTAATATAATTTTTATTGTAGGAATTAGAATTTAATTCAAAGCAATTCAAAGCAATTTAACTGAGACGTGAAACATGAAAGTCTCATTCATTTGACAAATCTTTATCAAAAAGATAGGCCACTTATTATTGCAAAGAATACAAAAAATAAACACTATTGTGATGTGTAGAATAAATAATCAATTTGAATTTCATTGAATTAAATTAAACTTCATTAATTCAAATTCAATTAAAACAATTATGCTTCCTGTGAGGTGTGGCCAATTCAAGAATTTAATCGTAATTAAAGGACCCCCTCCCCCCGAGGAAGTTTCCGCCACTATTTCAACGTCATTTCCTGTCCAAGAGAGGAAATGCACGTTTAGGTTCCACCTTTGAATTCAGAGATTGACCCCAACCCTGTTAATGATAAGCAATTACCATGTGGCTGTTTATTGTGTTGGGCAAATCATAACTTCCACTTAAGTAGAATTTTCACTTTATAGTCATGCATTTTTATGTAATTGGGAGACTTTGAATATTGCACTCAAAGATTTACAATGATTTGGCCTCTGGTTTGATGCCACACTAATGTATCTGAACTATGTAATCTACATTAATATAATGATTGATGCAGTGCATTTGGCAGTAATGCTCATGGATGGATATTTAATGAGCATCTCAAAATCACCTCGCAAACCTTTAGGTATCAATTGTTGGAGAATGCGTTAACCTGGTCCATTTAGGGCAGATGGTTATTTCCTTGTTGTAATATCTGACAATTCCCTGATGACTGTAAAACAAAATTAAAATGGGTTATTTATTCTACACATCACCATTGTCTTTATTTTTGTATTCTTTGAAATAATAAGTGGCATATCCTTTTGATAAAATATTTGTCAACTGAATCAGACTTTCATGTTTCACGTCTCAGTTAAATTGGTTTGAATTGTTTTGAATTCAATTCTACTTCCAATTCAAATTATGCTTGCTGTGAGGTGTGGCCAATTCAAATTCATTGTTTGAATTTAATTACATTCAGAAATTCCAAATTGACCCCAACCATGTCATTAAATGTGATCACATACCACAGGCCTCCATGAAGGTTCTATGCAGCCTGAAGGTGATGAGAGGCTCCTTCAGTTTCCTCAGGAAGTCCTTGAGAAGTCCACAGACAACGTGGATCTCATCCACTCTGGGCATGAGCGGCCCTTTCCCGTTAATGTATCTCTTCCTCAGCTCCTTTACCATACGCTCACACCCAGGAACACGGTAGATGCCTTTCTGCAATAACAGAGGGAGGAGGAAGTCAAGCATGTTGGTAACTAGTCAAATATAAATGTGTCTGAATAGAAACTGTTCCAGATTGAGAATAACAGCTCCTCCAATCTTCTTTTCTCAATTTCATTCACGCACTGAACAATTATCTGAGGGATCCTAGGCTGGGTAGGTGGGGCAAATCTCTCTAACGTGTCCTGCAAATGAATGAGAAATGCTTATTTTGAACAAACAGAACAAAGCAAGGTTGGAACGTTTGGGAATATTGAGTTGAGGTACTTCAGATCCATGAGCTCCACATGAGGCAGAGGCAGAGGAGCAGTCCAGGCACTTCTGTTTACATTCGGGATGAGCTACCACAAAGCAGTCCCTGCACTTCACGGCCATCTTCCCGAACCGGATCCTCTTCTCACATGGCACACACATTTCTGGACTAATCACCTGAAAAGAGTCCAGACGGTTAAAAGTCCCATACATATTCTAAATAGTACTAACAATTTCTATTCAAGAGTCAATATGTGGTTTAACATGAGAAGATGGTATCCATGAGACAGTTCTTACTGTTTTAGACAGGAAGTAGTGTCTCAAAGTGGGAGTGAAGACCTGTGAGTCTGGGCACTGTGGTGGTGGTCATTTCCATCTCTGCTATGGTGTCGAGCTCCACGGTGGTTTCAGGGTCATCAGCGGTTTCATCATTGGAAGTCCACACTGACGTTTGTTCTGAGGGACAGATAATTGAGCCACGGGGATTGAGTAAAGTAGGCTTTATCTTCCTTACCGCCAACAGATGAACTCAGGTGCTCTTGCCAGAAAGTCCTGGGTGGTTTCTCTGGTGTTTCCTGGGTGATGTCGATCACCATGTGAATTTGATCTCCGCTCTCTGGGTTTGTGACGGTTGCTTTCACAATCGTAGTCTCGACTTCCTGAATAAAAGTATGAAACACTTGCCATTTTCAAGATTCATGAACTAATCTGGTGATCCCAATGCTAATGGAGAGTCACACAGTGCTGAATAGTCTTTGCTCCCTCAGAGTGAAGTGATCTCTACAGTGCATGTGGGAGGAGAAAAAATGTGACCAAGGCAGACAGAATGGTCTGCGTCCCAAATAACACCATATTCCTTCCTGTACCAAAAGTAGTTTAAAAAACCATGTTTTATTGTCACATACACTGGATAGGTGCAGTGAAATGTGTTGTTTTACAGGGTCAGCCTTAGTAGTAAGGCACCTCTGGAGCAAATTAGGGGTAAGTGCCTTGCTCAAAGGCACTGACAGATTTTTCACCTCGACGGCTCAGGTATTCGAACCAGCAACCTTTCGGTTACTGGCCCATAGCTCTAATCGCTAGGCTACCTGCCACCTCTACACTGAGTGTATTTGTGCCACTGAATGGCACAAATACACAATCCATGTCTCAATTGTCTCAAGGCTTAAAAATCCTTCTTTAACCTGTCTCCTCCCCTTCATCTACACTAATTGAAGTGGATTTAAAAAGTGACATCAATAAGGGATCATAGCTTTCACCTGTATTCACCTAGTCAGTCTATGTCATGAAAAGAGCAGGCGTCCTTAATGTTTTGTACACTCAATGTATACACACTACATGACCAAAAGTATGTGGACACCTGCTCGTCGAACATCTCATTCCAAAATCATGGGCATTAATATGGAGTTGGTCCCCCCTTTGCTGCTATAACAGCCTCCACTCTTCTGGGAAGGCTTTCCACTAGATGTTGGAACATTGCTGCGGGGACTTGCTTCCATTCAGCCACAAGAGCATGAGTGAGGTTGGGCACTGATGTTGGGCGATTAGGCCTGGCTCGCAGTCAGTATTACAATTCATCCCAAAGGTGTTCGATGGGGTTGAGATCAGGGCTCTGTGCAGCCAGTCAAGTTCTTCCACACCGATCTCAACAAACCATTTCTGTATGGACCTCGCTTTGTGCACAGGGAATTGTCATGCTGAAACAGGAAAGGGCCTTCCCAAAACTGTTGCCACAAAGTTGGAAGCAAAGAATCGTCTAGAATGTCATTGTATGCTGTAGTGTTAAGATTTCTCTTCACTGGAACTAAGGGGCCTAGCCCGAATCATGAAAAACAGCCACAGACCATTATTCCTCCTCCACCAAAATGTATAGTTGGCACTATGCATTCGGGCAGGTAGCATTCTCCTGGCACAGTCCGTCAGACTGCCAGATGGTGAAGCGCGATTCATCACTCCAGAGAACGCATTTCCACTGCTCCAGAGTCCAATGGCGGTGAGCTTTACACCACTCCAGCCGACGCTTGGCATTGCGCATGGTGATCTTAGGCTTGTGTGCGGCTGCTCGGCCATGGAAACCCATTCCATGAAGCTCCTGACAAACAGTTATTGTGCTGACGTTGCTTCCAGAGGCAGTTTGGAACTTGGTAGTGAGTGTTGCAATCGAGGACAGACGATTTTTACGCGCAACGTATTTCAGCACTCAACGGTCCCATTCTGTGAGCTTGTGTGGCCTACCACTTCACGGCTGCGCCGTTGTTGCTCCTAGACGTTTCCACTTCACAATAACAGCACTTACAGTTGACCGGGGTAGCTCTAGCATGGAAGAAATTTGACAAACTGACTTGTTGGAAAGGTGGCATCCTATGACGGTACCACGTTGAAAGTCACTGAGCTCTTCAGTAAGGCCATTCTATTGCCAATGTTTGTGTATGGAGATTGCATGGCTGTGTGTTTGATTTTATACACCTGTCAGCAACAGGTGTGGCTTAAATAACTTTTTTTTTTTTTTTTTTTTACATTTTAGTCATTAAGCAGACGCTCTTTTCCAGAGCGACTTACAGTTAGTGAGTGCATACATTTATCATACTGGATCCACTCATTTAAAGGGGTGTCCACAAACTTTTGTATATATAGTGTAGTGAACTATATAGGGAATAGCGTGCCATTTGGGACGCAGCCAATGTGTATGGTCCCATGCTGTTTCCACCTGAGGAGACGGGTGTGCTGCTCTGTGCACTGAGAGGATGACGCTGAGCAGAGGGCCTGATGAATACGCCAGCTAATAGGAAGTGACAACACACTAGGCCCAACTACACGGACACAATGGCCAGGACCACATCAGACGTTAACGTTTTGTTAACTGTACACTAAAAAAATCATGGGTTCTCTGTTAAGTGATTATCCAGTAAGGTTCTTTCTATCCCACACATTGTCCGATGATTTATTTTCAAAGACACATAAGCTCTAATGACCGGCTGATAAAATTAATCTATACGTTTTAACTAAAAATAAATTCATATTTTTGTGCCAAGGGCTTAAGATAGACTGGCTGAACCAAGTAACTGTCTCCCTGGTGAAAAGGCATTAGTTCCACTCCAGCTGGTTCAAATAACATTCAGAAAATTGGACTGCTACTGCATTGAGAAGCCAAATACTTATTAGTAAAAGATTTAGTGTAAAACCAGAAGCATCAATTTTGAAACAAATAATTCAGATAAATCGGTTTTATGTGGTTGAAACTGAAACCCCAGTGAGTTTTTTAAATAATTATTAAAGTTAGCCAATCCATAGACCTCCATGTTGCAGCCTTGTTTTTATGAAAAGTATGGGTCCAATCCACATTATGCCTCTGCTTACCCTTTCCACTGGTCTTCCACCAAGGTGATCTTCTGGTGGGAGGAAGGATTGGTAACAAAATACATCAAACATATGGAAACCACAATTGACTCCGTTCCTTTAATTCCACTCCAGCCATTACAATGAGCTTCTATAGCTCCTCCCACTAGACTCTGGTCCACACTTACCCTTTTTTCTCTTGTCCTTGACTTAAGTGGTTTACCACTGTTACATCCAGGTCCTGTACACATTGAAACACTATTTGAAAGAGTGATACACAGACCATACACAAGCCACATCCAGATTTTACAGTGTCATATAGGGTACATATAGAATAATTTAATTTTGCTTTAAATGTGGATTTTCAGTTGTAAATAAAAAAGTGTCATCATCAGATCTATCATAACTAATATCAGAGTGAGACCTTATTTAAATACCTTATTTATATAAGTATTCAGACCCTTTGCTATGAGACTCGAAATTGAGCTTGGTGCATCCTGTTTCCATTGATCATCCTTGAGATGTTTCTACAACTTGATTGGAGTCCACCTGTGGCAAATTCAATTGATTGGAGATTATTTGGAAAGGCACACACCTGTCTATATATGGTCCCACAGTTGACAGTCCATGTCAGAACAAAAACCAAGCCATGAGGTCGAAGGAATTGTCTGTAGAGCTCCGAGACAGGATTGTGTTGAGGCACAGATCTGGGGAAGGGTACCAAAAAATGTCTGCACCATTGAAGGTCCCCAAGAACACAGTGGCCTCCATCATTCTTAAATGGAAGAAGTTTGGAACCACCAAGACTCTTCCTAGAGCTGGCCGCCCGGCAAAACTGGACAATCGGGGGAGAAGGGCCTTGGTGACCAAGAACCCGATGGTCACTCTGACAGAGCTCCAGAGTTCCTCTGTGGAGATGGGAGAACCTTCCAGAAGGACAACCATCTCTGCAGCACTCCACCAATCAGGCCTTTATGGTAGAGTGGCCAAATGGAAGCCACTCCTCAGTAAAAGCCACATGACAGCCCGCATGGAGTTTGCCAAAAGGCACCTAAAGGACTCTCAGACCATGAGAAACAAGATTCTCTGGTCTGATGAAACCAAGATTTAACTCTTTGGCCTGAATGCCAAGTGTTACGTCTGGAGGAAACGTGGCACCATCCCTACAGTGAAGCATGGTGGTGGCAGCATCATGCTGTGGGGATGTTTTTCAGCGGCAGGGGCTGGGAGACTAGTCAGGATCGAGGGAAAGGTGAACGGAGCAAAGTACAGAGAGATCCTTGATGAAAACCTGCTCCAGAGTGCTCAGGACCTCAGACTGGGGAGAAGATTCACCTTCCAACAGGACAACGACCCTAAGCACACAGCCAATACAACGCAGGAGTGGCTTCGGGACAAGCCTCTGAATTTCCTTGAGTGGCCCCGCCAGAGCCGGACTTGAACCCGATCTAGCATCTCTGGAGAGACCTGAAAGTAGCTGTGCAGCGACGCTCCCCATCCAACCTGACAGATCTTGAGAGAATCTGCAGAGAAGAATGAGAGAAACTCCCCAAATACATTTGTGCCAAGCTTGTAGCGTCATACCCAAGAAGACTCAAGGCTGTAATCCCTGCCAAAGGTGCTTCAACAAAGTACTGAGTAAAGGGTCTGAATACTTATGTAAATGTGATATTTCCGTTTTTTATATTTAAAAAATTTGCTAAAATTTCTACAAATCTGTTTTTGCTTTGTCATTATGGGGTATTGTGTGTAGATTGATGAGGGAAAAAAAACAATTGAATCAATTTTAGAATAAGGCTGTAACAATATGTGGAAAATGTCAAAGGGTCTGAATACCTTCCGAATGCACTATATATGACACATTTAAAGTAAAAGTTTGTCCCATCCTCTTACAGACTGCAGAAAGTACATCAGTAACCAAATAAACCATGCATTTACTGATCAACAAACTGTGTCACTGGCTTCAGTTTATGAGAAGCATGTTGGGAAGTTTGAGATGATGGTGCTAATAAGATGTCATGACCATTGGACACCATGATAATGTGGCAGTCATTATTGACCTCTAACAGTCTAAATCATGAGCCCCAATAGGACAGCATAACAAAGATAAAGGGAGCCATACCAAGTACTGAAAGTCTGCTTCTGCCTTATAGCGCTTCTTAATATCCACAATGACCTTGGTTGCGACATTGTTTCAGTTTGACCTCCAGGGCAACCTGGGCTATGTCTGACTTCACCAGCAGCTCCTTGTGCCTCTTCAGCTCCAGCTCTGCATGTAGCCATTTCTTCTTGGTGGCATCATAGTTTTCACTACCTCAATCAATTCTGGCATGAAGAAAAGACCAGAGTGACCAGGCTTGTGTTAGACATCATTCTATGTTCCAAGTGGGTATAATGAGAGAACAAAAAAAGAGAACATACCATGACAAGAAATGTGTACATGCGAATTGCAAGATTTGGCCATAACATCTCACTACCATTCACACATGAACATGTCTTTTAGTTTGACGCTTTAGAATGGAATACACCTTGAAATGTGTCTCAAGTGACAACATGACTGAAGCCATACTGTAGTGTACCTTTCAACATTGTGTCTGGTCACATCTTTTTAGGGGCTGTAATGTTCTGAACTGAACAAAAGCAAAATGGCATAGTGGAGTAGTATGCCAACATTTAAATCCTGTAGCCTACACACAAAAATGAATTTGACTGGGCATTCACTTATTTACAAGTCCCAGGCTAATGTTGCATTCATAACCAAGTGGCAGGTGGGAATGTAACAGTTGTGAAGTCGTAAATGCCAGTTGGATGCATTCACGTGCTTTGAATTTCTTGCGAAACGCCGATTGGCCAACAAGCTGCGTAAACCATAAACTAAAAGTACAGCTATCATGCTTGTAAACAAATGATTGTGTTCAGAAACCATATTAATAGATTGCTTTTTATAAATACTGTTTTTCTGTTGCATTTAACTGCCAAAAATGCTTTATATCAAGGTCATTTCCTTAGTAGGTGACGTCAGAGGTCAGCATGTGGGAGAAGTAGGAGCTCAGGATGATAGACGAGTTTCCCACTAGTAATTACCAGTTGGAGGGCCATTCAAGTGGATTTTTCCCAGTCCTATGTGGTAAATTCCCCACTTCCCACATGGTTACAAATGCAGCATTGGAAAGTTAACATCAGGGGTGTATTCACTAGGAACCAAACAGAACCAAACGGAAGCAATCAGACCAAAATGAGGAGGGACCTACTTCAATTTGTCCCATACAAACTCTAGTTTTCACTGATGATAGAAAAGTATGCATCTAAGTAAATGCATTCTCAATTCAGAGAAGCATAGGGCAATGGCCTATAAACAAACAATAGTTCTACATCCTACCTTTTCGGTAGGAAGCATGCTGTCAAATGAGCATGCTTTGGGGAAGTGGTTCCCAACCAGGTGTACTAGGACCCCTGGGGGTACTTGGCCTATCCACAGGGGGTGCTTGAGAAGAATCATGAGACCATAGGCCTACTGGTAAAATGCACATGAGGGGGTACTTCAGCAGTACTCCGGGCAAAATTAAGTAGGTGGAACAGTAACCAAAAAAGGTTGGGAACCACTGCTTTAGGGAACCAATGAGGGGGTGTAGGAGTGTAGGAGTGTAGGAATGTTTTGCACCGGCTGAAAGTTGATTACATTCGAGTTGGAACCGGGCTGCCTCCGAAGTGTGAGCCAGGTGCCCAGCTCTGTCCAAGTCGGCTCAAAACAAAAGTTATATAATTAAGCATGTGTAGTAATTAATAGGATTCTGTGTTTTCCCATGCTAAAGTGATTGCTTTTGATAAAAACACTTTATATGCCTTCAAACATTGTTTTTTTTTAAATGGAAAATATATGTTTTATGTTTCTGGCCCATCCCTAACACTGGGATAATTCAAAATGCACCTGAACAAGTAGGTTATTTCATGAATTAACATTAATATCGTATTTTACAACGGATGGTTTGGAATTCCCATTGTTAAAGCCTCTCCTACCCATGATATATGAGACAACATACACATGGCCACCTTCATATAAAGTGGCATCATTTATGTCGTTACCTAGCAACACACTATCTCTACTACTTTTACAACTACTAGTCTTAGCACCTATAACTGGTAATGGATGATTTTAAAGTTACTTATGATTTGTTTTATCCACCAACATTTAATGAATGGTGCCAACAAGAAGAGGAGGAGGAGGATATTAAAGATATGAAACAAGAAGAAGAGTGGACCAGCAACCTAAGCCCAGCACTAACGTTATATATGCAGAAAGCAGTGTTAGTGAATGTAGCATCACGTTTTGTTGAAAATTTTTGTTTTTTTTTATGCTGGTAACCCGTTGAATAAAAGCAATAATACATGAGAGGCCATGTGTTATGACATTTTTATCTTGGCTTTCCTGTTCTACACCACTTGGCTTCGCCTCTTGGCTATGACCACATCACAGCCATGATAGAAATGTCATAACACGGCCTCTCATGTATTATTGCTTAAATAATCAATAGCCTACTTTTCACTAGTTTCAATATCGATGGCTAACAAATAAAAAAATTCAATAAATTTGGATATAATATAACATTAACATTTGAGGAATAAATATTAGGAATTCACCCCTCAACAAATAAAACATTTCAACAAATTTGGATATAATATCACATTAACATTTGCGGAATAAATATTAGGAATTCACCCCTCAACATACAACCTTATTATTACAAAGCGCACGCACCTCATGAAAACAAAAATTTGCTTTTTGGTCTTAATTTAAGGTTAGCAGTGTGGTTATGGTTAGGTTTAAAATCACATTTTAAGAGAAATTGTAGAAATAGGCGGGGTTTATGACTGATTGTGGTAACTAGTGACGTCCCAGTGGTATCTCGCCCAAAGGCCGGCAGATTTTATTTTACCTTTATTTAACTAGGCAAGTCAGTTAAGAACACATTCTTATTTACTATGACGGCCTACACCGGCCAAACCCGGACGACGCTGGGCCAATTGTGCGCCGCCCTATGGGTCATGACACGACTCAATATCGCCATCTGCCGGCCTTTGGGCTAGTGCGTATCGTCAAATGGCATCATTATCGTAATAGACTCCATCTATGATGATATCCTCCTAACTTTTTAAAGAAAATAAAACTTTTTTTAGTAGGACTATTCGGATGTATTTATTTTTGTAGTCAATGACCCCGTGTTCTTGATGTTCCCATGTGTAGCTGGATAACAGTGTTTATTGCAATGGCTAGCTAGCCTATGATTTTAATAATCTGTATTTTTCAATGTGTTGTCATGGTACTTGGCATTTCAAGTGCAAAACCCAGCTATTACCAGACCCAGAAGTGTCAGGTCAACTCGTATTGTACCACGAGGTCTGGAAGCTAGGCCAGTCAGTCAGCTATGCTTTAACTGTGAGGAGTCTACAAAAGTAGGATATTTATTAGTCAATGTAACTACAAGCCCTTCTTATGGAGATTAACAAAAATCTATTGCAGTATTTAATAGCCTTGTTGGGATTGCCTGGGATTGAAACTTTAACCTCACAAAAATCTTACTCTTCCCGCCACCAAATCAGGTAACGTTAAGGTTAAATGAAATATGCAGGCTACATTGTTTTTGTTTACTATATGAATTATGTAATAATGTGCATTATTGCAGTGCAAGAAAATATAGGGTCCAGTGTTCAATTATGTAGGTTGGCTGTGAAAACCTGTACACCTATTGAGTAAGTCTAAGGTTAATTTTGTGAGGTTTTTAGTCCTTTCTTCCATATCCATAGTACTGGTATTAAATTACCAGATGCAGAGGGGGCACAGCAGCATAGCAGTCTATTCTTGAATTGAAAATTGGCCTAATGCAGGGCTGTACTTCCTTTGGTGGATGTTCTCATAAGCAGATGTTAATGTATGCTGCTTTAATGCATGCACACCATCATTCTCAAGAAGGAAGACCATTCATTTGATTGCAGAATGTAATGCTGTCACTTATTTATAGGATATTGTAGTGTTATTATTTGCATCATTTCCATAAGATTATCATTTTGCACATTCTCTACATTTAAGATTAAAGCATCGCAGGAACTTGGTGTCCTGGGAGATGTATTTTTCTTCTTTGCTGGCAGCAGCTGTCAGACAGCCCCTGTATGATAAGTGTTATATTGATGCCTTGTCAAACTATAGTTATGTTCACCAACACATCTCAGCTACCCTGCTCTGATTGAGCACAAGGGGTATGTTCAAAATCCCTTAATGTTTTTAACAAGAAGCAACGCTTTTGAGGTTCTACACCTTGGCGTCTGGATAACACGTTTAGCAAAGTGACCATGACATTTTTCCTATACCCTGACTGTTCGTACGCCTACTTCTCCAGCAGAAAAATATGAAATGTTTGTCCACGTCACCCTAAAAAAACATGTTGTATAAGCCTTGTGAGAAAGGCAAACTGGGGGAGCCTTATTGTTTCAAGACTTTGAAAGAGTTGCAAACCTCAGACAAATGTATAACATCATACTGTGCTATTTTGATACATTTGAACTGGGATAGGCTGATGTTGACTCAGTTAGGCTACTTCTATAGCCTTTTTATTGATTGCATGAAATAGCCTTGTTTGATGACATAATGGTCATGGACAGAGTGCATTTTGCAGGCTATAAAATCATTTTCTACATTGTTTCTTGATTCTCAACATTGGCATGCAAAACTAAATAAAACCAATCTGCTGTTTTAGTCTCTAGAAAGTTGCCAGAGCAGGGTGTATTGTTTGATTAATAATGCAGACTTAAATGCGGTCTTTTTGTTTTATCAATGGCCTCAGATGGCGTTTGCATAGCTCCGTACATGTCCATACTGCTCCTGTACCTCCATACATGTGCATACTGATCCTGTAGCTCCAAGGCGATATGGGATATTGTTTTTTGCCCAGTAGAGGACACTGTGGGTAGGCCTATTCATTCTAGGGTTGCCAGTTACTCGTTTTAGTGTGTGGTCTCTGATTAGGACAATGTTTGAGTAAACCTTTGGTGTGTTTGGTTGGCTTTACGCGACTCGCAAAAAAAAAATAAGCTGCTTGCTGGTATCAAAGGCTTTAGTCCTTTTTTCTCATTTTTTGAATTACTCTATTACACAAACAGTAGTTAGCTGGCTCTGAATCAGTTGAATTTAGAGCCCCAAATTCTGATGTGATGTGAGACCCTCGAGTATAAGTCAGATCTCAAGCGACACTGTTTGGTTAGTTCTAAGTATGAGACACAGGTGTGAGACTGTGATTTTACTCTTGCCTTCAGCGTTTGTTCATTTGGAGCTAAGCTTAGTTTGAACAGAATGTTTTGCCAGGGTCTTAATGTCCTGTTTATACCGATTTTGGATTATTGACTTTAAATCAATAACACCATTTATTAGACGGATTAGAAAGCTTTGAGACACTGGTAGAGATTTTACTTAGGAATGAAAGTTTACCACTAGCTAGGTTTCCATCCAATTGGCGACAGATTTTCATGAGAATATTCTAAAGTCTGCATAGAAAAATAAGTGCATTTTCTCACCAGAGGTGTTTCCATCAAACTGACTT